GAATGAATTTGGTGGTATTTCTTCCCTTTCTGCTTTATGATATAGTTTGAGGAGTATTGAAGCTTATTTATTTTTTAAAGGTCTGGTAGAATTTGGAAGTGAATCCATCTGGTCTTGGGCTTTCTTTTGTTGGGAGACTCTTTACTACTGCTTCAATCTCATTTCTTGTTATAGATCAGTTTACTAGGATTATATATTATTGATTCAACTTTGCATCTGTAAGTCTATCAACTTTTTCTGTACCTTTCAGTTTCTTAGAATGTAAGTTTTCAAAGTATTCCCTAATGACCCTCTGAATTTCATTGTTTTTATTATAACATCTTCCTTTTCATCTCTAATTTTGTTAATATGGGTCTTTTCCCTCCTTCACTTGATTATTTTGGTTAAAGGTTTAGCAATCTTTAAATTTCAAAGAACCAGCCATTTGTTTCATTAATGTATTGTATTGTTTTTTAGTCTCCATTTCATTCATCTCTGCCCTTATCTTTATTATTTATTTCTACCTACTAATTTGGGGGTTTTGTCTTGTTTTCGTAAGAACTCGTTGTGTATCACTGGGTTATTTATTTGAGATCTCTCTGAATTTTTAACATGTATGCACATAACTATAAGCTTTCTTCTCAGTACTACTGTTGCTGTACCCCAAAGTTGTGTTTTCATTTTATTTTGATACTAAGAATTGTTTTATTTCTCCTTTTATTTCTTTGATGACTCACTAGTCATTCAACAGTGTATTATTCACTGTAATCCTAGCTACTCAGGAGGCAGAGATCAGGACGATCACAGTTCAAAGGCAGCCCAGGCAAATAGTTCGTGAGACCCTATCCTGAAAAAAAAAAAAAAACCTTCACAAAAAGGGATATTGAAGTGGCTCAAGGCATAGACCCTGAGTTCAAGCCCAAGTACCACAAATAAGTGTATTGTTCAGTCTCCATGTGTTTGAATATTTTCTGTAGTTTCTTTTTTGCTAATTACTAGTTTGATTCCATTGTAGTATAAAATAGAGGCAGTTATTTCAATTTTCTTACATTTGTTAAGCATTACATAAAGGCTTACTTTATGTCCTTAATGTCATCTATTTTAGAGAAATTTCCATGGGCTGCTGAGAATAATTATATTGTGTATCCATGGATAACATATTCTGTAGATATCTGTTAAGTCCATTGGGTCTATATTGTCATTTAACTCTGAAGTTTCTTCATTGATTTTGTTTTTTGGTCTGGATAACTTATCTATAGGTGAGAGTGGGGTACTGAGACTGTGGCTAGTGCTGGGATTGCTGATCATCAGACTCTAACCTTAGACTTATGGTTGGTGGTTCTTTTTCTTTTTCAAAACATTTCTTAGGTGGCCACCTGTGGCTCACGCCTATAATACTAGCTACTCAGGAGTCAGAGATCAGGAAGATTGCAGTTCAAAGCCAGCCCAGAGAAACAGATTGCAAGACCCTACCTTAAAAAAAAACATCACAAAAAGGGATGGTGGAATGATTCAAGCTGTAGGATCTGAGTTCAAACCCCAGTACTGCAAAATAAAAAATCCCCATTTTCTTCTTGTATTCATTAATATAGAATTATGTGTAGTAATGTGAATTTTTAACTTTTCTAGAGGACCCAAGAAGAAAGCAATTTTGAATTATTTGCCATGTATCTACAATTAATGTCACAACAGGACATATTTATTAATGGACCTAAATATATGTTGTCTTTTCTTAGAAATTCCAGAAACCAAGAATAAACTGAAATGATGATTCAGTATTTTAACTTACTTAGGAATGACTCATTTGATGAATATGTGTACCACATTTAAGATGATGTAACTTTTAATATTTATTTTTCATTTATTTTTGCATTTTTAATTTGTGTATATTAATTGTGCAAAGGTGTTCCATTGTGACATCTCCACAGATAAGTATAATATACATTGATTAAGTTCACCCCCTCTATCATACTCCCTTAGTTTCCTGCCCGATGTCTCCCTTTTCACACAGTATTATATATATATCTGTATATCTATATAGGTCTATAGATAGATATGAATATTCTTAGATATAGATATAGATATGGATATAATGTGCTTTAGTCATGTTCATCCCCAGTACCATGCTTTTTCTCCCCCTTTGCTAATTTCCACCCCCTTAACAGTCCAGCTTTTGTGCCCATGTCCCATTGTTATTATTGTTTCTGTTGCTATCATTATTATAATTATTATAATTTTTGTAGATTCCACGTATAGGTAAAAACATGTGAGATTTGGCTTTTTGAGTTTGACTTATCTTCTCAACATAATGGTCTCCAGTTCCATTCACTTCCCTGAAAATGACATAATTTCATTCTCTTTAAGACCTAGTAATACTTCATTATGCATATATACCACATTCTTTATCCATTAACTGGCTGTTTGGCACCTAGGCTGACTCATAGTTTAGTTATTATGAATAACTCTTTGGTAAACATAGGTGTAAAGATATCTCTCTTGTATGTTTATTTACACTGCTTCAGATATATGCCCAAGAGTGCTATAGCGGGGTCATAAGGTAAGAATATTTTTAGTTTTTTGTATGAACCTCCATACTGATGTCCATAATGGTTGCATTAAATTACATTCCACCATTGGGGTATGAGGGTTCCTTTTTCCTCATGGGGAGGGGTCTTCCTATGATATAGTTGATATGGAACCCTCAGTTGGAAAGTCCCTGTGTCAGAGGCAGTCAGTTTGGCCAAGGGATGCCAGCAACCACAGCTACACTCACTGGACTCTCTCCCACTTGCCTCCAAACTTAGTGCATGTACCACACTTCACCCAGAGGTGTGCTAGTGAAATGTTGGTGTAATCAAATCTACTGTGCCACCAATTTTGATTTCCTAAAAATCAAAAGTTTCCTGTGAGAATAGTCATTCAATTCTTGTGTCTACTGACAATAGGAGCAGGCAGGGGAGGGGGCCATAATGAAAGTCCCTTGCACATAGGACAATTTCCCCAACCCCTCTCATTCACCTACATTTTTTGCACTTCCTTGTTTCTTCCAATTTTGAGAGATGAAATCTACATAACACAAAATAATCTTATTTGCAGTGTAAAACATTGCAGCATTGAGTCACAGTGTTGTGCCACAACAAACTTTATCAAGTCCCAAATTCATCAGCCCAAGAGGAAATATGTGTTCTTGTACACATCAGTGCCCATTTCCACTTCTCTCAAAATTTAGGACCAAACTCTCTGATAACCAACCTTCTTTGAACTTGAATGATTTGTCTCAGACCTCATGGCTCAATTTTTACTCATCATGCAGAGTTCTGCTTTTGGCCAACTCTGTGACCCAAAATACCCTCCCTAAATCAACACAAGTGCACACACTTATCCAGTTTTGGGCCTCTGTGCTGACTCCTTCGGGGAAAGCTCTGTCAACCCCATTGATGATGTAGATTTGGTCCAGGTGGATGATTGGGGAAGAAACAGTAAATGTGGGAGGCCCTATTGATATGGCTGCCATATCAGTTAGAGAAGAAGCTATCTAAGGTGAATATTCAAATGATGGGATTAGTCTTGGGGACATTAGAAGTTCCAATGTCTACTCAAGTTTTTAACATGCATCAAGGCAATGTTGTAGCTGGTGTGAGAAAAAATAAAACAACTTTGAGGAATGAGAACTACATGTGAGTTATAACCAGAATACAGGTTGGAGGAAGAGCTTCCTTCCTGCTCAGAAATTATCCCTAACCTGGGAGATCATTTCTGAGCTGCTCAGAAATTATCCTGCTGTTCACCTGGAAGCTCTGGTTCCTGAAACTACAATCATATGAATGGAGGGGAGGAGGTGAACATTCTAGGGAACAGTAAGAAGAAAGGCTTCCAGAGGAATTGATTACACCAAGGTGGCTGGCTGTGTTTGGGGTGTTAGTTGTAGGGGCTGGAGCAGGGGTGGGGGCAAACTGCAGTCCTGGATCTGAGTGTCCTGGAGCAGAATTCCTTATCCTGTAAGGGAGCCCCCACCAGGGAGAGTGTAGGGCTTAGTGTGATATTTCTGGATGCCCAGGACTTCCTCATCACCTCATATACACCATACTGTGCCCATACTGGCTCTTGGCCTCTCTTCTTCTGTCATCTAGGACCTGGAAAGTACTGCCCAATTGTGTGTTGCATAAGTAAACATGTTTCTCCCTCATGTCCTATCTCTGTCCATGCTCACAAGAAATGCTCCTGGAAGTACTGGCCTTGCTGGGTGAGGAGAGGTGGTAACAGTAGAACCAGAGAAAGCTGTATAGATGGGTTTCCTGGGCTTGCAGCAGATGTACTGAGGGCTCCACCGCTGAATATGAAGCTGGAATTACAGCTCCGGGAGTAACCCACACCTGTATAGACAATGGTGTGGGTTGGGAGGGAATGGGGAACAGGTGTGTAATGGTTTGAGTTTTCAGAGAAGCAAAGTAGGCAGACATGTTGGAGGAGGAAGAGCCTGTGAAGGGGACTGCTTTTGCTTCTGATTATCTGCTAAGACCCTGAACTCTTTGTGGGGTAGACTGCTAGAGAGGATGAAGCAGGGTGGCTCTGAACTTCAGCCACCAAGGACATTTGCACAGCTGTCCTGACCCCTGAGAGCTGCCCAGCCACGCCCAGGAGAAATGGCTGGTCCACAGGCTCACTAATGAATATAGTGAAATAAATGCCTATTTCTGCTTTGTAGTTTTTTAATGCAACATTACTGAGGTATTAGACAAATGAATCACCGGCATTTCAAAAAGACAGAATGGAGAAGAACCCATAGTGCTTTCTAATCTGGAAATACATGAAACATGAGCTTTTGTGATTAAGACCACTGAGGTATCAGGATTTTCTTTTTACTTGGGATGACTCATTTGGATGCTGACAGATACACAGAGAAATAAGATGCAGCACACTTCCTAAGCAAAAGGGAGGTGGTACGTTAAGTGGATTTCAGAAATTGCCACTATTGTGGTCATGCCCCAAAAGGATATTCCTGTCTTCTGGAAGCCCATTTGCTAGTAGAGTGCTAAGGCCCTGCATTGCAACATTCCAGTCTGTAGAACAACTTCACTGTGGCCCTTGTCCTGGGCAAACTGGAGAACAGTCCTGACCAGGGTTTTGGCTATTTCCTCTCCTCCGTGTTTCAAGGCCACAGACAGGTGGAAGAACTGCAACTGCTTTCTCCCCACTGGGGAATCCTTCACAGGCAGAGCACCCACCATGCGTACCCACCTGCCCCCATGATCAGTCACCCAGAAGCAGGAGCCACATCCACTCAGGTAGGACTTGGTGATGTCAGCCAGGTCTATGCGAAAACATGTGACCACATACTGCCTCCAGAGGTATCTGAGCAGAAGCCACAGGCAAAGGAGCAGGATGAAAGTGCACACAATGATCAGAAGCCATGAGTCATAGACCAGAAATAGAGCAAGAGGCACCCCAAGTAAGAGCAGGAAGGCACAGGGTAGCATCAGGATGTGACAGAAGGTGGCAGGGATGTACTCCTCTATGCCCCTAGAGAACAAGCCCAGGACCCATGTTTGGTAGATCTCTTGGTATTTGCAGGTGTGATAAGGAGCCATGGGGAGACTTCTGGGTTGAAATCTGAGTGGTCTATAAGCCAAGGCAACACATGCCTGTGCACCTTCTCTGTGGCCTTGTAGAAGAGAGAGGAAGCTTTATGAGTTCCCTTCACAGCGTCCAGCCTCCCAGGCACCATGAGAACATTTTTAAGGGTGTATCTTTCTGCTGTTACTCAAGAGGAACTCTGACACTACCACTGGGAGGTGTAAGATTAGAAACACCTGATTAAAACCCTGATTCCTCCCTTTCCATCCTTGTGATTTTGGGCATGTTGCCTACCCTCTCTAGGCCTGTGTGTATTCATCTACCCACCAGGGTAAAATAACACCCACCTTCTAGGTTTGTTTTGAGGATTTGATACTGTAACTATACATGATATATACAGGCTTTTCCTCTCCACCCTTCTTACCCTATTACAGGCTTTTAAAACTGGCACTTTTAACAAGACCACCTCATGTCCCCGGATCTGTTTCCTCTTTAGAAACCATATATTGCAGAATCCTGTGTTTCCTCAACTGAAGTGTCAGCAAAGCCTCATCTGTTTCATAACAAAGATTTAGGTTGCTGAGAGGGCAAGGCCTCAAATTGCAGGACTCTTAAGATCCCAGAAGGTCGTGGGACTCCAGGCATACTTTGATACCCTGACCTTGCACCTGTGTCCACTCACCTGAAAACACAGAGCGTAGGGTGTCCAGGACATCCTCAGTCCCTAGCAGCATCCTGTAGGACTGAGACCTAATGTCGGGAGTAATCCTATGTTGACACCTCATTGGCTGGCTCCTGGATAATTATAAATTCCAAGGTCAAGAGCTGGTAAGTAACAGAGCAGGGACCCCAAGTCCATTCATCTGATAATTCCAGGAGATAATTCTGTAAGAATGAGGCTCTGGGACAGCCCAGGGATGCTCACTCTTGTGGCAGGCTTGCTGCCCCTCTTTCTGTTCTCATTCAGGCTTCACTGTCTCTCCTGGCACACTAAATCTACTCTGAGGCCCACCATGTGCCCTTCACACACTTACTAGAAGTCTGGGAATGGTACCTTTCACCCTGGGCACTCTCATCACAGGCCAGAGTCCAGGTCCCCTGACCCAACAACAACATTCTACACAACTGGGATTTTTCTTACTCAAGCTGTACTTGCTCTAGAAAATGGATTCTGGTGGTTCCCCACACTGTCCTCCCTGCCCCTTCTCTTGTGCATCAGGCCCTCATTCAGAAATAGTATTGATGCACCTGCAGCTGCAGGTGTCCTTCTTAGCCCCCAGCATAAGTGACATCCAGCTGACAGGCCCAGAACAATGGGTAGCCACTGTTAACTGCTGGAAGCTTCCCAGAGCTAACATATGTCATATGTGTTAGGTGAGTAACACCAGGATAAGATAGGCAAAGCACCACAGATGAAGATTCCCCTCCTCTTGGACTCTCCACCACAGAAGAGACACTTCCCTACCCCAGAGCAGTTCAGCCTCTGCCCTCCTTTCCTACCCTGGTACAACAGCAATGCCCTGATTTTCTCCTCTCATTATTCCTGAATCAGGAGAACATGGGAGCTTGCAGTCTTTAGCTCACCATTATTGTGTCCATGGTCCAAGCAGGCACTGAGGATAAAGCACACATGTGGCTGATGTGGGTTCTTGCATTGATGGAGCTCCTAAGGTGCTTTTGGGGTGATTGAAACAGGTGGACACTCTCTCAGCTGGGACAAGGGTCAAAACAAGCACATGCAGGAGCTGACAGGAGAAAAAAGAATGAGGCTTCCCAGGGAGGAAACTTGAACTCAGACTACAGGAAACTTTGGTCTCTGCAGACAATGAGGAAAGCTTCCCAGGCTGAGGGAAGAGAGGTGTGAACAACATACAGGCAGGGGGAAGAGACTTCTTTGGGAAAATGATGGCCACAGCTTTGGGGAAAGTTGACTGCGAGGCCACAGGGGGAAGAAGTGGGTAAGGCTGACAGTGGCATTTCGTCAGGGCCAGCACCTTAATTAGGTAATATAGATTATATTCCAGAGATACTGGAAGCTTTAAGTATGCTTTTAGCTAGGAAGCTGTATGACTGGTGTGTGTGTGTGTGTGTGTGTGTGTGTGTGTGTGTGTGTATTAGTGTGTTTAAATTAATCTGAAGTGACAGGAATAGAAAATACTCCAAGAGGCTTTTGAATGATCCTGGCAAAATAAGGTCCCCAGGTACAGGCGTGTAGATTGCACGTTGCACTTGAGCATTATTTCAACAAGGCTTGCTGGGAGCTAACATCCAGGCTATGCTGATTCCCAAGAGCGGATCCTTGGGTAGCTTGTCTGTTTTGTTTTTTTTTTTCATGTTTAACGCTCTGTATAATTGGTTACACAATTATCACAGGAAAATACACTCCATGAGGGCAACAAAATTGTCTGTTTTGTATACATTGCTGCATTCCCAGTGCCTAAACAATGCTAAGAACAAAGTAGATACTCAAGAAACGTTTACAAAACTATTAATATATATATGAAACATATAGTAAGAAAATTTAAATATGCAAATTTCTTAAGAAATATTATTTAAATATATGAGTATAAAGATAAGCTATAAATTTATTCATTATGGAATTTTTAAAAATTAATGGAACTTTGGGGATTTTAGTGGCTGAAAAAGATCTTACTAGACTGAGTCTACCAAAGATAACAACTTCAAACTCAGGAACCCTCTCCCCCCAAAAAATACCATTACCCCAAAATGTCATAGGGCATATCTGTGGGTTTGGGGATTTTGACTAAGTCAGTTTAATTTTTGTAATTTAAAAATATTTGTACAAAAATCCTCATATGTGCTTTGATTTTTTAAAAGAAAGAAATAATAGTGTATTGTATTTTTGTTCAATTTTTAAATTATCACATTATTGTTGTAGTAGGGATACCTGTAACAGTTACAAATGTTTTTACAATATATCATAGTTGAATTGACCCCTTCATGTAGCTAGTGTTATTTGTTTAGTAGCATCAGTACACCCAAATGATCTCATTGCTGGAAGGGGCCCCTGTTCCGTGTCAACAAAGAGACCATCTGCATTAGCAGTGTGCCTTAGAGGATGCCTGGCATGTCCGTTACGTGACAGTTAAGACAATGAAGTCCGAGCCACCTGTAGGTGCTTTGTGGGACAGAAATATAAGGAGACAAATGACTCAGTGAGAATGAACACAAGGAAGGGGTCAGAGATATTCCCTAGGACTATGGCAAGAGCATCATGGATGCTGTGAGGGGGTAGGGAGATATGGAGTAGGCCATTTTGGAAAGGTGAGGCTTTGTCTTAGGTGCTTCCTGCAGCTTTCTCATTTGGTAAACCTGAAGCAGAGAGTGGCAGCTTGAAGTCAGGGTCAAGTGGAGGGTGGTGGGATAAGAGATTATTAACTTTTAGTCAAGGCTAAAAGTTTACTTTTAACATAACTCTGGTTAGTGCATGTGTTACATTGTCCTCATTCATTTAAATATGCTAACACTTGAATGTTATAAGTTTAACTTGAACTAGGAATGTTGAATGCAGAACTAGAATGTTGAACGTTAAGCAGAAAATGAGCTAGGAATGCAAGTCAAGAAGGGAGGTCGCCAGGTGCTAGTGAGTGCCCTAGTGAAAGTCTGTGTAACATTAACCAGAAAGTAACCCAAGTCAAGGTGAAGGATAAGAGGCTTGTGCACTGTCCCTGCCTTCTGTCTCCCCTTATGCTTTGTGGTTACTGTGCATTCTGCAAATCCAGGGGCCTTTGTCACAAGGTGGCCCAACAGTGGTGTGGCACTCCTGGCTTTTTGGCTGCTTTGTGCAGGTGCAGATTCCTTTCACCACTGTCCACATCACATGAAGGATTCTCTCCAGCCACGACTGAAGCTGAGGCTTTCCTGCACCCACACCCCCTTCCACTGAAAGGTGAGGGCTATGCCTCAGCATTGCCAGTGTCAGCAGATGTGAAAATGAATGGTTTCAAGTGCACTCACTGTTCCTGAGGACTAGATGTGGGCATTCCCCTGTCTGGTCCAATGTGGTTTTCTCTGAAAGTGGTCCATTCCAAGGTTGTCAGTGTCCCAGTAGAGAGAAAGGTCATTATCGTGTGCCTGCATGTTCAATCTGATGAATGGGCGTTCTACTTGAGGCCAATGGGAACAGCACCCTATACAGATCTGGCTCACTGTGACTCAGAGGATTATGCTGAGCAATACTGTGACAACTGCCCGGAGAGGGGGGTACACTGAAACCCAGAGGGGTTGATCAATGGTTTAAAGGTGGAGGAGGATAAGACCTAGAGTACAAATATATGCATAACCCCTCCCCACCACTCTGGTTGAGCTTATTATGGGACAGGCAGAAGGAACAGGTGGACTGTTGCGATAATGGGTGATATAGAAAAATTAGGAAGGAACAAGAGAACACATTCTATTTTTTTATTATTTTATCATTTTTACTCACATGTGTATACATTGTTTGGGCCATCTCCTGCTCCCCCCTCTTGCTTCTGGGCAGAACCTGTTCCGCCCTCTTGTTCTCTGATTTTGTTGAAGAGAAAACATAAGAGATAATAAGAAAGACGTAGCGTTTTTGCTAGTTTGAGATAAATATACCTATACAGAGAGTTCCTAGCATTGCTTCCATGCACTTGTGTATTGCAACCCAGATCGGTTCATCTCTACCAGACCTCTTCACTACTTCCTAGTCCTCTTCCCATAGTGGCCTCTGTCAGTTTAAGATTACTATATTCACTTCTCTACAGCGAGCACATCAACCACATTCAAGTTTTATGTTTCCTTCTCTTTTCCTATTTTCCCATGCACATTCTCCCCCTAGTGTGTGACCCATGTCTAATAATATTAGTGCATTTGTTTTAGGACTATAATCCACATACAAGGGAGAACAAGTGATTTTTGGCCTTTTGAGCCTGGCTAACTTCACTTAAGGTGATGTTCTCCAGTTCCATCCATTTACTTGGGAATGACAAGATTTCATTCTTCTTTGTGGCTGAATAAAGTTTCATTGTGT